GAAGTTCTATAGAGTAAACTAGTACGTTACCCCGAATTTAACGAGCGCAACCACAAGTAAAGGCTAAAGGCTTAGTTATAACAGGAATGTGGTCTGAATGGCGGGCATAAAAATTGGTATCTGTATCTGACACGTCTTGTAACTACGCTATACCTATAAGTTATGTCTCGATGAATACAGATCGTATTTATGCTTAATAAGTAAATAGCTACAAGTACCAATTTATTTCCAATATTCTTAAGATTACCTGTATGCTGATAAATTTGCTTATTTTTTCCTCTACTAATATTGTCTATAAATCTACAAAATTAATAATAAGAAACAACTTGTAAGTATATTTATTGGTCTTATCGAAATGAATATTTGCGTGTAAGTATGGAGTAGTAACCGATGTGAGCAAGTAGTAACAGTGCTTTTTATACCTATTTTGTGTTTGAAGCGGAACGTGATTTCATGCTCCTTTATACTGAGATTATTAAACAGTTCAACTGGACAGCGTTCCATAAAAACAGATAAGTACTTATAGACATTAAGTTTCTTGTCCAGTTTTCTCAGTACAAGGTCTCTCACGCGGCGTAAGTATTTAAGATCCGATAGCTTAACTTTTAACATCACGATTTTTACCTACCTACCTTTGGAATTAAATTTTTGTTGGCAAAGTGAAAGACTAGTAGCTGTTTACTTTTTTCTTTTTAGTGTATTTCCATTGCTGAAGGTCAGTATTGATAGGTATTTCCGAAGATTCACTTTGTCCATAGGAGGCCGAAAATTGGTTCTACATAATTAATTGCTGACCAATCTCTAGTGTTGCAAAAGCGGTATGACAATGTTTATTTCAAATTATCTGATCATAAAGGAAATAGAAAATGAATTAAGATTTTATTCTTCTAAAAGCTTTTTAAATACCTAATTGATGAAATCGCTGATTTCATGAATTTGCTTACTAAACGTCGCATTGTAATCCAAAAAGAAATGAAATTATACAGTCAGTAGTTCTTAATAATTACTTAAATTTCTTTATCTGAATCAAAAGTAACAGTTATTAACTGACTTCGTTTGGTTTCATGTAGGTAATCGGAATGTTTCTCAGACCATTGAGATTATGACTAAAGTGCTAAATGAACTGTGAATTACGATAATGTTTTTGATTACTTTAACAATTATTAGTTAACAACATTGTAGGAATTTTATATATATCTGTGTAGCTATTTAGTACGTACTAGTACTTACTAGTAAAATTAGATCGGGTTGGTAGAACTGGGACTCTTTCTAAGAAAATGACAAGTTTTGCATTAATTTGAATTGATAATCAGGCAGGAAACTTAACTACAGAATTTTCACGCCCGAATTGCAGAATCCGTTTAGAGGTGTAACCTCCATCTCAGGCTGTAGGTTTTGCTGTCAGTCAATGCTATAACTGATTGATAACTTATCGTCTAATGTGGTCCCTGATGACTTTCAGAGGCCATCTGCTTTTTTATCATTAGTGATCATACATGACTGTTAGAATTGACTGACGGAGCGTCTAAATAAGCGTCTAATAGACGCCTTACCGATAGTTTGGTGTTGGTTTGATGCAGTGAGTAAGGTTTTAAGATCTTCACGAGGTAGGAAATAGATGGGGTCCAACTGGACAACACGCTAAGCTCAAGTATCTATAGCCGCTTACCTCACTAAGCTTTTTCACCACACACTTATTAAGAAAAAATAATGATTGCTTATAGTTAATTAATGGATGTTATTACATTACCAATTGAAGCGTAAAGCTCGGGAGAGAATGTCTGAGAAGAGCAATATACAGTGGTGGTCATATATGCTTAATAATACAAAACCAATAATATGTATTGACCATTATTTGAGCGAATGGTTCATTTCTAAATATATACTGTTAGTGTTGTAGAATATTCTTAGGACCGATTTGCATTATTCATGTAATAGTTTCGTTGAAATAATGTACCTTCTTATTTGTCTACTTATTAAATCAAAGGAACTCATAAAGTTGCCGGAATACTGGCTGGACAAATAATTAAGAAAGAAAATATATTGTTCTTCTCTTCATAGTTTTGAAAATGGAATAAATAAATATTTCCATCACTCACACCAATTACCCTAGCCCCAAAGTAAGCCGTATTATGTAGGCTTTTGTTTGTAACGGATAGAATACTTATACTGGTACATATTACACAAGCATTATTATATAGAAATACATATTAAACATCCATGATTAGAGTACAAATGCTCGTATTCATCACACAAAAATCTGCCGCCACCGGGATTCAAACCTGGGACCTCTCGAGTTGGCGACACCTTGAAACCCGGCGTATAAACTACTCGGCCACGGAGGTCGTCAAATGCGAGGTTTGTCATTACTATTTTTATTGCATTTTCGCGATACTATTGTTAGAATATACGTTTACTGCATTTTTTTATTAAAATGGGCAAAAATAAATATAGTGACTCTACTGCTAGAGAAATAACAATAAACTTGCGTGCTCGTAATTTTGTCGTATAAAAATATTGCTGATCACTTGTATTATTTAAAACCGATGGTGTACCAAGCTGTGAAAAATTTTAATACACATTAGACAACCTCCAATGTCCCCCGCAAACCCAAAGTAAGAAAAACGTTTTCACGAGAGGATTTAAGATTAGTTCTGCTAAGCAGGACCCGTTCAAAGCTCAAACGAAATAAAAACCGGCCAATTGCGAGTCGGACTCCCGCACCGAGGGTTCCGTACAAACCTGTACGTATATAATAATTTATTAAAAAAATATGATGTAACTAGAAATTTATGGTTTTCGTAATGTTTCCTTTATCTGTGCTAAAAGAAGTTGCTTCGTACCAAATTCCAAGATTCTGAGTTCACGGGAAGTACCCTGTAGGTTTTGATTTCCTTGCGAGTTTCGAAAATTTGCGGCATAAACGGCTGTATCTTTTGATTGCGTGGGCTTAGAAGTTTGATTTTTTCACAGCTCCAAGAGACAGTAGACGCGTTCCTGAGAAAAAGGGTCTTGACAGACGGACGGACGCATAACAAAGTGATCCCATAAGGGTTCCGTTTTTTCCTTTCGAGGTAGGGAACCCTAAAAATGAATTTTTGGTGAAAATAATCCTAGTACAGCTCTGCGCGTACCGTTCGAAGACGGCTAGTAGAGGCACAGTTGTTTCGGCGAGTAACAAGGAAGGTATCCATGTTATACATAGAGAGGCTCGACTAGCGTTTGCAAGGATGTCTCATGATTGGACAGAACATCAATGGAAAAATGTACTTTGTTTTGATGGAGCTGCCATGTCATCGGACAAAAGCTCCTTAAAAAAAAAGATAAAAGAAATTAGCTTAATAAAGCGAAATGCTTTACTTAGCAGGTATAATGACTAGCAGTACTATTATCGATCCTTGGGGGAGGCCTATGCTCAGCAGTGGGCATCGTACGGCTGACATGATGATGGATATTATCATTGCCTACTTGTATAAATAGAAACTGGCCCAGTCTCCCTATTCCATCCATAGGGAAGGCCTGTTCCCCTACAGTGGGTACATTAAGAGCGGACTCGAGCTGAGACATTCGAGAAATAGGTATTTGAAAAAACTATTGCTGTCACGCATTTTCAAATACCGTGCGATAGGGATAATCACACATCACAGACTAATATTATAAAGGTGAAAGTTGGTGAGTGTGTATGTTTGTTACTTCTTCACGTCTAAACGACTGGAGCGATTTTAATGAAATTTGGTACGGAGTTAGCTGACACCCTGGATTTACACATAGGCTACGTTTTACTGCGAGAAAATAATCCTAGTTTGGCTCTCGACGGTTTGCTCCTCGAAAATCAGGTATATGTAAAACATATTTTACCCATAGAATAATAAGTAGTTATACTAGGCCTCTATGTTTTGCTTTCTTGTAAATGCTTATTGAATCTCCACACTAGACGTCTTTAGTGGTGATCAAAATTTTCTTTGAAATTCTATTTATCGTAAGAAGAAAGACATAGGAGCATAAAATGAGTAACATTATATTTTATGTAATAAAATATTTACTTTAGTGATAAAAATCAACGAGGAATCAATCAAGAACGTTCGTGTGGATAAAATATTGCCTGCCTTCCCTCCTAATAGGCTCATAATGGTGAAGACGCGGTGAAGTCCCACAACGGGGATCTCGCGGTTCCGTACTTAACAGCGTAGAGGGTATTCGCAGGGTTTTTAGCGGATAGCATGCCGTAAGCGCTCGTTAGCCGCACGGACTGCTTAACGGCTTCTCCGTTTCGCACCCGTGAGACTAGCGAGAGGTATGAGGTCCGTTCGTTGGTGTGCCCCATAAGGGCGCCAACGTCTGTAAATAGAGGGTTTGCCTGCGTAAAAAAAAAGGCTCAAAATGGTGTGCTTGTCGGGCAACGTGCAATGTAAGGGTTCCGTAGTTGCTTAGCTCAAAGCGGAAATAGTAAACCTTATAACGATAAGCCGAAGAGCTCTCATCTGGGCATTGGAATCTAAACTAATACGTAGGTAATACGAATGCGACAGTAATTCTGTTACCTACGTCATCACGCTTCAAACTGCTGAATCGATTTCGATGAATTTTGTTAAGAGATTAAAGGGATGTTGAAGGGAATGGGCTGCATTTTGTTGAAAAATTAAAATTATGGGGAGGTTGAATAGAGGATAAATTGCACGGGAAAACACAAATTTTACAGTAGTAGTGTAAAATAATATTTTAAGTAGTCATCATAAACGCAAAAGAATATCTAGTTTCTAAAATTTATATTGGAAACTCTTTTCATACAGGTCAAAATGCTGGAGTATACATAGATACAAGTTGTATCTATACTAGTCTTATTCTTTGAAGGTAAGTACCTATTTTACAATTTGGATTGAAAAGAAAAAATACTTGAATGAGATTGCGCTTGGTGAACAACATTATACGCAAACAAATTAATACGGAGCTATACACACAGTAAGCTAAATGCGAGAGATATTTCTTTACTATAAACTCACATCGTTAAAGTAAACCTGTTCAAGCGTCTGTCTTGTTTTGTTAGCTTTGCTGTATTCCGGTAGGCTGGACTGACGTCTCACGCGCATTCGTTGCTCCCTTTCCATAGTCATCAAGTCAGACTTTTGCGAAAGCACTAGGTAGTGCAAGCGATGAACAATATCCATTGCGATCTTGACTTTTCTTTTAGATATGCTCTGATGACTCAATGTTCGAAATAGTCGAAGGTCAACACTGCGCGGGTAGCGTATTCGTAATTTGAATTTGTTTTACCGTTATTTTTTTCCGAACCTTTAGGGAGTTCGCTACAAAACTAATTTCAAAAAAGTATTTTTGTAAAGAGTATTTGCATGCAGACTTTTTTTTCACAGAAAAGTTTTTGTTGCAGGCTTTTCTCGCCCGCGGGCGTTCACTGGGCGGGCGCGCCGTGACTGCCGTAGGGCGCCGGATGTAGCGTGGCGGTGTTTCTCCGCGTCGCTCGGCAACCGTTTGCAAACAACACGCGATTCCCACAAGTTCACACTCAACAAAGATTTATTTCACCCGCTGTGATTTTAGTTGCGATAGCTGTCTAGATAACTATCGAATTTGAGGGTCCGACACAATTAGGCGTACCCAACTAGTTTAGCTATCCATTTTCTGTTTTTTTTTACCCGACAGTTTTAGACACTCATACAACACCTAGGCCTTAGGCGTTTACATGTAGGAATCTATGGTTTTAAATTTAAAACGATTACAACAATAAAAGGTCATTAATAACAAAGTCATGCTTAAGGTGGTATACGACGGCCTGTGTGGTCGCGGGCGGGTCCGGCCGCGCCGATCAGGGTTGACTAGCGTATGAGAACTCTAACGTTTGAGACGTTTACGAGGTAAATAGAAATCTCGTACACTTGAATATGAGATTTGAACTATGTTGACTCTTTGTGTCATTTACACAAACCAAAAATATTATCAGTAAGTCAATAAATGTCCAGTCCACAAAGTATCTACTAAGTAAGTACAGCTTCATTATGCCATCACAAAGTGAACGAGATTTCTATTTACCTAATATCATGTATAGATACTGCTAAATCTCAAACGTTAGAGTTCTCATACCATTGGCAACCCTGCGGGGCGCGACCGCGCCCACGGCAACACAGGCCGTCGGACAGCACCTTTAGCCTTACGCCTCCCCCGCGGTTTCTATCTGTAATGCTACAGCCACACTATTGCACTATCGCGAACATTTGCCGTTCTCACGACGCATCAAACCAAGCAATAGTCACATTTCTGACCATGTTATATTGCTTGGCCCGACTTGTCGTGAAAACGGAAAATGTTCACGAAAGCGCGACAATGAGCATGTGTGTAGCATAAGTAACTAAGATGTATGTTTGCAAAAGACAACGTGTCTGGAAATTGTAATTTATAAATCAATAGATGATATCCAACTTCTTACGTAAGTCTTAAGGAGCCCCTTCCGAATTTGAGGCGTTTAACACTAACTTATGATAAAGATTACGGCTAAAGTAGAAAGGTTTGAATGAAAATAAAATTAACAGTATGAAAATATTATTATTCTCATTTTTGGGAGTCTTCTGACTAAAATTTTAAGGCAGCCAAAAACATCTTTTTACCGACATTATTTTTATGGAAATCTCGTTTCATCATTATTTCATTATCGCCCAAGCCACGTTTCACTGCAGTATGGTAATATATATTTTTTCAATTATTGTGTTTTTGCATAAGTAATTGTATCAAGTCACTTGATGAATCTGTTTATTAAATTTTTATAATAGTATTTGAAGACATAGCAGCTAATTAGGTATTCCTACACACATGTACATTTTGCTTGGCCTTGTAAGAGCCTATTATTCCCTAGTGTTGTTAGCGCCTCTCCTTTGCAGTTCATTAGTACAATGAGGTGCTTGACACAATCAACCTTTACATTGTATATTTAAAAATGATTGTTTTTAGGATAGTATATACATAATTACATGTCTAACTATTCCCACACTTTGCAAAATATAAAAATCGTCGATTTCAATTTAATGCAAGTAGTTAAACCTATGTCAAAACTATAGACAATATTTGTTGCTATAACAAAAAAAATGCCCATAATACGGTTCAATTGTAATAAATAAAATTCCGATAAAATCTAAAAAAAACCGACCAAGTGCGAGCCGGACTCGCAAACAAAAAGTAGGTATGTACTATCAGTGTACAGTACCCCTAGCACAGGATTACCAGATGATAAAATCAAAAGTCCGGAAAAAAGGCTTGATTTCCATTGAAAAATCCTGAAATTTTTTACAGTTTGAGAATTTTCTCTCAAAAGTACTTAACAATTTAAAAACGTCGTAATATTATCGTTTATACTCTGCTTACACTTTTAAATTAATATAATTTGAAGTGCTTAACATGTGGGGCATTATATGAATCCATAATTAAAAAAAAAACTACTTAAAAATGTATCTTCACATATTAAGTATGATAAAACTGATTAAGTACCTACTTGGATAATAAAGTACTGATTTTAATTGTGCAATTATTACCAATAGATTAGATTATTTTTAGTTTGTAACTATTTATTAAAGAGATCTTTAAAACGTAAGCTTTATTTTATTGGAAATTCAAAAAATCCTGAGATTTCATGAGATTGCTAAATCCAGCCGCAATCCTGAGAAGAGTCCAAAAATCCTGAAGTCTCAGGACAAATTCTGAGATATGGTAACCCTACCCTAGCACGAACCAAAATCGTATTCGTAACGTTTGCGCGTCCGAAATGTCATTGTCAAATGTGTACTGATTTTTAGTTCCCGTTACGTCCAAAGTGGCGCTGCTGTTCAAATTTCCATATAAAATTTGACATTGACATTTCGGTTTGCAAACTATTCGAATTCGATAATGGTTCGTGCTAGGGGTACAGTGGGTACTGTACTTAGTATGAGTTTTACAATAACGAAAACTATGATAGTTTTCGTGAGCTCGCACTCGTACTAAGGATACTGATTTTATTGTTTTCGTTTCAATACAAATAAACAGTGTTTCAATTCTATCATTAAACCATTTGCATCTTCTTAAATTTTAAGTATATTTGGTTACTTTTGACCAAAATGGATATAGAAACATTTACAATTACGAAAACTATGATAGTTTTCTTGAGCTCAAACTCGTACTAAGGGTACAGGTACCTATAATCAGTAGTAAAATAGATTGAGCAAAACAAGTTGAAAAAGTCACGTTTCACGTATGGTAACCCCGCTTATTTGATAATATATTTGTTGCGGTAGTAACTGATTACAATTACAAGGATTCTGTGAAATTTAGAGGTGTCTACTTTTCCGTGTGCTGTGACAGACAGACAGCGGATACCTCTTTCTGTGTTCTGTGGCGGAGACATATTAATAGGGTTACGTTTGACACAATTACACCTTGGGTATTTGGTACCCCGTAGTGACCCGCCCTAGCTTCGCTTCTATGTGAGCTTTAGTTTTTATTATTTTGTACAGGTACTATACTAAGCCATCCGCACGCTTCCCGCTTCTGAACTAGTCGGGCTCAACCGCCGAAATAAACAACAAGTTACGTAAGTCTCTGACCACGCACCATGTTAAGTTAGCCCACTATAACCCTTTCACGTAGGTACAGCCACCCGCGCGATAACGCACCCACAGCGCGAATATTTGCCACGATAGCCGATAATGACCTGTCGTATCTGCGCGTATCTTGTCATAGCACGAAGCTTCGTGGCGATACACGCAGATGCGGCCCCATCATTTAGTATGTATACGTAACTAGGTTTAAGAAGGTGGTATGAAGAGCTCGATGGCGTAAGTGTATAGCGCGAATAGAAAAAAAAAAATTGTGTGTGTCAGCTCCGACGTACGACTGGAGTTTACTCCTTAAATTCGATAGTCTAACCAGACGCAAAAATAGTTTATTTAACTTAAAAAAGATTGATACTGTATGAAAGGGTAAATTAACAAATTAATGAAAATAATATACATACATAAATATATATTTATTCATTTCATATACATTTATTATAACTAATCGACGGAATATTTTACATTAAACTTTTTACAATAGTCAATTTCAGATGTGCATAAATATATCATTAGGAATGTTGATAAATTATGTAATTATTATTATCAGACTATTATCATTTTTTTAAATATTAATTAAATCAACATTGTCTGCATTATTAATTACAGTGACAAGTGGTTTATGGTAACTAAAATAAGACACATGGACGTTCGTAGATACGTGGTTCACGAATCTTTAAAATACCGCATCAGTGGTTGTACCATACCTCGTTGTCCCCATTGCTCTATCAGAAACAATATCTAAATTCAGTTCAGATTTTAAATTTTTTTTTAATGTCAATCCCTCATCTTTGTTTGTCAAAGTTGTGCGACATAGGATGCGCGACATTCCCCCCTACCAGGAACGGTGGCCCTCCCACTGTAGGTTCTGCCCTACAAAGGGGGGGCGGCGGAGGGAGGGTTCTTGGATGGATACGCCCAGGAGTCCCCTCCGCAGCGGATGGGGGGCGGTATGGTGGGCAGTAGGCCGCATACTTAGCCCCCACGCACGAGCCTACCTGCGCACGTCTGCGGGGTCCCCGAAATACCGCGGGAGACCCCTGCCGTGGAGCCCCGTCGAGGCCGGGAAACTGCTAGGTGCGGGGACGCGGAGATATCCCCATTAGCGGGGATCCCGCGGAACCGCATCAGGCAGTAGTGAAGGTATTCGCAGGACTTTTTTAGCGGATATTATACCGTAAAGCGCCCGTAAGAGTTGCGGGGTCCCAGGTGGGCATCCACTATGGGGGTTCGTAAGACTTGCGGGAGCCAGGTGTGAGGTCCGTTCGGCGGTGTGCCCCTTAGAGGCGCCGTCGTCTGTAAAAAGATTTTTTACCTGCGTAATAAAAAAAAAAAAAAAAGGATGCGCGACATAGGATGCGCACCAAAAACGTAATGAGGTCATTCATCGATAGATTTTATTCCTCACATTTTTCTCATACTGGGCCCCTTATATATGCAAATCGATTCTTAAGGAGTAAACTCCAAAAATCGCAGTGGTTGGTCATTGGATGACCAAAACTTATCAGCCCGCGTGGTGGTCATGGCCCAATCTTAATATTCCATCCATAGAGAAGGCCTGTGAAGTGCCCTGGGGC